GTTTTGATTTGTATTTCCCTGAGGAGGAGTGACGTTGAGCATCTTTTCATGTGCCTGTTGGCCATCTGGATGTCTTCTTTAGAAAAGTATCTATTCATGTCTTCTACCCATTTCTTCACTGGATTATCTGTTTTTTGGATAGTCCCCTTTATTATGATATAGTGCCTTTCTTCCTCTCTTGTTACAGTCTTCTATTTAAAAATCTAGTTTGGGGGCGCCTGGGTGGCGCAGTCGGTTAAGCGTCCGACTTCAGCCAGGTCACGATCTCGCGGTCCGTGAGTTCGAGCCCCGCGTCGGGCTCTGGGCTGATGGCTCAGAGCCTGGAGCCTGTTTCCGATTCTGTGTCTCCCTCTCTCTCTGCGCCTCCCCCGTTCATGCTCTGTCTCTCTCTGTCCCAAAAATAAATAAAAAACGTTGAAAAAAAAAATTTAAAAAAAAAAATCTAGTTTGTCTGATACGAGTATGGCTACTTCAGCGTTCTTTTGACATTCATTAGAATGATAGATGGTTTTCCATCCCCTTACTTTCATCCTGTGTCTTTAGGTCTAAAATGAGTCCCTTGTAGGTAGCATGTAGATGGGTCTCGTTTTTGTTTTTGTTTTTTTAATCCATTCTGATACCCTATGTATTTTGATTGGAGCATTTAGTCCATTTACATTCAGAGTGATTATTGATAGATATGAATTTAGTGCCATTGTATTACCTGTTAAGTCATTGTTTCTGGAGATTTTCTTTGTTCATTTCTAGCCTTTGTTGCTTTTGGTGTTCTTTTCCCACTCAAAGAGTCCCCAGTAGTATTTCTTGCAGGGTTAGTTTCGTGGTCATGAACTTCTTTAGTTTGTGTTTGTCTGTGAAGCTCTTTATCTCCCCTCCCATTCTGAATGACAGCATTGCTGGATAAAGTTTCATGGCTGCATGTTGTCCCAGTCAGCACATTGAATATATCCTGCCACTCCCTTCTGGCCTGCCAGGTTTCTGTGGATAAGTCTGCTGCTAACCTTATTTGCCTTCCCTCTTAAGTTAGGGACATCTTTTCCCGGGCTGCTTTTAGTATTTTTTTCCTCATCTATGTATTTTGCAAATTTTACTATGATCTGTCCTTGTGTTGGCCTGGTTTTGTTGATTTTGGTGGGAGTTTTCTGTGTCTCCTAGGTTTGGATGTCTGTTTCCTTCCACAGATTAAGGAAGTTTTCATCTATAATTTGCTCAAAATAACTTTCTATCCCCTTTTCCCTCTCTTCTCCTGGGACTCCTATGATATGAATGTTATTATGTTTTATGGAGTTGCTGAGTTCCCTAAGTTTACATTTGTGATCCAATATTTTTATTTCTCCCTTCTTTTCAGCTTTATTATTTTCCATAATTTTGTCTTCTGTATCACTATTCATTCCTCTGCTTCTTCCATTATTGTGGTCATTACATCTAGTCAGTTTCACCTCTTGGTTATAGCAGTTTTTATTTTGGCCTGACCAGTTTTTTAGATTCTTTATCTCTGCAGTAAGACTTCCTGGTGTCCATTATGCTTTTCTCAAGGCCAGCTAGTATCCTTTTTCTTGTTGTTTTAAATTCTGGATCCGGCATATTACTTGTATCTCTTTTAATTAGATCCCTGGCTGTGACCTTTTCTTGTTCTTTCTTTTGGGATGAATTCCTCCATCTTGGCATTTTTTTTCTAGGTCTCTGTCTTCTTCTGTGTTAGGAAAGCTGGATATGTTTCATGTTCCTGAGAGTAATGGCTTCATTAAGAAGAGGTCATATAGTGCTCAAGACCTAGAACTTCAGGAAGTGTTTCTGGGGTTTGCTGTGTGCACTCTGATGCTCTGTTTTGACTGCTCTTACCCTCAGGTCAGCCCTCTGCAGAGTTTCTCCTTGCCTGCAGTGGGAAGTGTGTGGACCTTAGCCAGAGTGTGGCTTGTTTTAACTAGGTGTGCTCTTGTCTGCCTGTTAAAAGAGGTCTGATCCTATTTCCACTGGAGCTGAAGCTTTGCTGCACTCTATGGTCAGTAGACTTGGTACATGCGAGGGTTTGTGCTGGCCTTCTGGGGTAGGGGCCTGCTGCTCTGGTTCTTAGTCACATTTGCCCAGGTAAAGATGTACCTGAAGAACACAGGGGTTGGGACTTGGTGTAAGTGGCTCAGGCCTCCACTGTCAGCACTGTTCTGCTCCCTGAAGTCAATGTGTGCTGATGGGCAGGGGAAAAATTGGTGCCAACCCTCCCCCTTGTCCCTGAGAAGGGGAGTTTGTGTCTGCTGCTGTCCATGAAGCCCTCACAGAAGAGCTAACAATCTCCCTTTGTGTGTCCCAACCATACCTCAGGTCCCTGCCTTCACTCTGTCTGTGTCTGGCCTGTGTGCCCACCCAGCCAGTGGGTTTTACCTCAGGCAGGCCGGCTGAGTTTCAAAACTCCAAACTTCAGGGACCCAGTGTAATGCAGACTCATGCTGGTGCTCTGGGGGAGAGTTCCACCTTCACATTGGGGCTGGTGCTGGTTTGTCCCAGAAGGGCAGCTGTACCAACACCCAGGAGCTTAGAGTTTAAGAGTAAAGTGCTGCAAAAAGCTGGCATCCAGGTCAGCTGCCCTCAGGTGAACTGTCTCTGTTCCTTTGCTAAGGAACAGGGCAGCACAATGGTGCCCACTGGCTCTTTTGTCCCCTAAGAGGCAATGCCGCCTCTCCCAAATGCACCCCAAGAAGGGGTAAATATCTCTCCCAGTGTGTCCCAAGGAATCCTCAGATAGTGGTGTCCACTCCCGGCTCTCTGCCTACCACGGAGCATCATTGCACCCACTAGGCTCCACACCTGCCATGGCACTGACTTCTAAAAGTCCAGGCTTTGAGCTCTGCTGGTTGTAAAAACTCACAGCAATCAGCCCCACTCAGTTTGTCAGTCAACGGTTTTGGGAAAGTGTTTTTCTTGTGTGATCCCCTGTGCGCTCTCACTCTCTCTCTCTCTCTCCTCTCTGTTTGTGATCAGGGCTCCCTCCCTTCCATAGCACCTATGATCCTTTTCTTCCCCAAAGCACATATCACTTTCCTACCTACCACGATGTCGCCTCTTGTCTCTCTCTCTAGTTGTGCAATTTATTCTCTCACCCTTATATTGATTTCTTGGGTGTTGAGAATGATTTGATGTTTATCCAGGTATGTTCAAGGAATGCGGCAAGCATAGGGGCCTCCTACCACTCCACCATCTTCTCCCCTAAAACCCCATTAAAACTTTTAAAGGCCTTTCTATTTTGTGAATGGTATGTTAGCAAATGCTTAAATTTGTTAACTTTGATTCTTTAGACCAACTAGTAGGGTAAAGTGATCCATGGATGCCTCATAACCCGGGACTTTCTTTCTGTTCTGAACATGAAATTGAAGGGGCCCCTGGTGGTTCAGTTGGTTAAGTGTCCGACTCTTGATTTTGGCTCGGTTCACGATCTCACAGTTTGTGAAATTGAGCCCCGCATCAGGTTCCATGCTGACAGTGCAGAACCTGCTTGGGATTTTCTCTCTCTCCCTCTCTGTCTGCCCTTCCTGCACCTGCATGCATTCCCTCTCTCTCTCTCTCTCTCTCTGCCTTCAAATAAATAAATAAACATTTAAAAATAAAGAAATAAAATGAAATTGAAAACCAGAACAGGTTTAGAGGAATTGAGCCTCCTCAAATGAAGATCAGTTGTAGTTGTTCAGGGAAGATACTAGTTGATTCCCAGCCTATGAGAACATCCCTAGATTCTGTACTGTGGCTCTCCATCTAACCCAAGGCTAGGTTAATAAGGAGCTTCTCACATCCTTCTAGCCACCATGAATTTCCTTGAATTTCAATGATTCTTCACGCTTGGCCCCCTCTTCTTGTTAATAGTTAGCTGTGATTGTCTCATGATATAATTGGCTTCTGTCTTGTATAGATTTTCCTTATGAAGTAAAATGTTTACAAAGTAGAGAATAGTTGCAATTATCTACTTATAAATCGTGGATTATTTTACTGATTAATAATAATAGTAATAACAAACGCTGGTGTGTGCCAACTACTGTAAGGCTTCTCTCATTTCATCGTTGTAACAAGCTATGGAAGAGTGACTTCAATTATCCAGACTTACAAGATGAGGGAATGCAGTCCTAAAAAAATGAGTTAACTTGCCGGAGGCTACCAAGCAGAAAACAGGAACACAACTCAGCAGTGTAATTCCAGGTTTTTTTTCTCCTTATCACTATGTTTCTCTACATTGTCTTGATTCTGCAGTGAATGCTTATTTCTATAATCGTAAAATTGCAAATGATATTTATTGGCTTTAGATTTTCTGAATTTATGTGCACCAAGTATGTTGGACTCGCCATAGTTTTAGGATAAAAATGCTAACATTTTATATCTTTACAGTGTCAAGCCAGGGCTGTAGTTGGCAGTTTTAGGAAACGTAAATATGGAAGAAATGGGTAGAACATTCAGGGGTGCACATTTCCTCTAATCACATCCCAAGGATCAAGAGAGGACGTCTCAAGTTGTCTGATCAATAAGACAGAGTTTTAGCTATAGTCATAAAACTTATAAATAGAACAATAGATTAAATAAATTAAAAGTGACTAAAGAAGAATTGTGAGGACACTGATCGAATAGTGTAAGTTTCGTATCTTTACGGTGGGAAGAAACTACTCACTGTATTGACGAAACAGAAGCATAAGCGCAAACGTGTTATTTGAGTTTGTGGAGGTGACCGTGAACATTAGAAATAGAAACTGTCAGGAGTTTACCTTGAAACACTGAAGATGGGGCGGAGGTGAAGAGTGAGGAGGGAGTTTGTGTGTTCCATTTTTTACTTTTCTGTGCTACTTGAATTATTTCTATTGGAAGTACAACTTGTATAATACATACTTGTGTATCATACCAGTTGTGAATAAAAAGATCACGCATAGTCACATTTGGTTATCTATCTTACAAGGAATATACCAATGCCTATGAAAACCTGTGTCATTAATGTCTGCTACTTTGTTATGTTTCTTTTAGAGGAGGGAATCATGAGCCAGAGTTCGCCTTATATCTGTTCCTTTTTGGGGCTCTTGCCCTTTTGGATACTGTGTACATCCTCTACCAACAAATGTGTTGTTAGGCATGAAGCAGCTGACTGCAGTCATCTGAAGTTGACACAAGTGCCCGATGACCTCCCAGCAAACATAACGGTGTTGAATCTCACCCATAACCAGCTCAGAAGATTACCACCTGACAACTTTACAAGATATAGCCAACTTACTACCTTGGATGGAGGATTTAACTCCATCTCAAAACTGGAGCCAGAATTGTGCCAAAAACTCCCCTTGTTGGAAATTTTGAACCTCGAACACAATGAACTATCTCACCTTTCAGAGCGAACTTTTATCTTCTGTGTGAATTTGATGGAACTCCATCTAAGGTCCAATTCAATCCAGAAAATTGAAAACGATCCCTTCCAAAACCTGAAGGTAGGATGGAAATGTTCACCTCCATATAAGAAATGAAAAATATGTTGCCTCGTGTTAAGTTTTCAAGTCACTCATGAATCTTGAGATTTCGTATCTAAGTACCAAGGTCAAGAATGAAAAATCTGATCTACCCAAATGGGAAGAGGGGCAGCTCTATGTACAAATATGGCCATTTAAGATTGGAAATCTTTTCAAAAGAGAAAATAGCATCTTACTTCACTTTCAGTCTTAAGTTTAAAGAACTCTGCCTCTCTTGCTCCCTCCCATTAAAAATACAACTCAGATACAAGAGGTAGAGATCAGAGAAGAATCTGGTCTGTCATAACCCGAGAAGAATAAGAATATCTCTCATTAGGAACACAGCAAATAAACTCTCAATGCTGCTGATAGTACCTGAAGTAATGAAAACAACAACAACAACAACAACAACAACAACAACAACAACACACGTCCAAATTCAGACTTAAATAAAGTTAACAAATTGACACATGATAAAGCAAATTGTCCAACTAAAAATTACCTACTCTTGATTTAGAAATCTCTTCATATTATTGCTTTACTAATGGCCATCCTTTTTTTCCCCTGAATACTTTCCTTGAATTTTAAATCTGTGAAAATGTATGTGAGTGTCTCTAAATCTGAGACACTTATTAGGTACTTTTCTTGAACCAAAGCCATTTTTTTTTAATTTTTTTTTTTAATGTTTATTTATTTTTGAGACAGAGAGAGACAGAGCATGAATGGGGGAGGGTCAGAGAGAGGGAGACACAGAATCTGAAACAGGCTCCAGGCTCTGAGCCGTCAGCCCAGAGCCTGACGCGGGGCTCGAACTCACGGACCGCGAGATCGTGACCTGAGCCGAAGTCGGCCGCTTAACCGACTGAGCCACCCAGGCGCCCCCCAAAGCCATTTTTTTAAACTCTTTGTTTTCTTCATCACATGGACCTATACAAAATTTGGCATTCCTTGACCTCATATGCCAAGAGTAATGTACAAACAAGTAAGCTTAGAAACGTTTGTAAAGTGACTTGCTTGCTAGTGATTTGAAATTCTCTTATGCCTCTTTAGATTCTGCAGTGGACAAAATGGCTTTGGACACAAAGGCCTCAAAACCTGGTTAGAATAATCTTTGGCAAAATGTTCTTTCACGTTTAAAACATAAATAAAAGTCTTACTCTCTTGAATACGCATCATCTAAGATTTTACCCCAATATATATCAGCTTTTCCTTACCTTTTACCTGAGTGGAAATTTACCTGTTAAAAATAGCACAAGGTGGGGGCGCCTGGGTGGCGCAGTTGGTTAAGCAGCCGACTTCAGCCAGGTCACGATCTCATGATCACAATAAAAAAAAGTTGAGCCAGCGATAGCACAGCAGGCTCTGGGCTGATGGCTCCAAACCAAGCCTGTTCGATTCTGTGTCTCCCTCTCTGCCCTCCTCGTTCAGCTCTGTCTCTGTCCCCAAAAAAATAAATAAACGTTAAAAAAAAAAAATTAAAAAAAAATAAAAAAATAAAAAAATATTCACAAGGTGGTTAAAATGTCCCACAGCACTAACAAAACAAAAATGAATATTCTATATGCGCCATGATGCAAAATTAACATCCCTATCAATCTTTTTTTCTCAAAAAAATCTTTTTAGAATTATGGACTTATAAAATATTTCTTCATTTTTTTGTTTCTTTTTTATTTTAATGTTTATTTACTTATTTTTATTTTTTTTATTATTTTTTAAATATGAAATTTATTGTCAATTGTTTCCATACAACACCCAGTGCTCATTATTCCAACAGTGCCTCCTCAATACCTGATTACCCACCCTCCTCCACTCCCTATCGACCCATCAACCAGTTTATACTCCCTCAGTTTTGTTCTCGGTTTTGTTTTTTTTTTTTTTTTTTTTTTTTTTTTTTCAAAGATGATTTATTTTGGGATGCCAGAGAGACAGAGCATGAACGGGGAGGGGCAGAGAGAGAGGGAGACACAGAATGTAGGAAGCAGGCTCCAGGCTCTGAGCCATCAGCCAAGAAGCCTGGCGGGGCTCTACCACGGACCGTGGTGAGATCATGACCGATAACTGAAGTCGGACCTGCTGAAGTCGACTTCTCATGATCAGGCACACCAAGCAGGCTTCCTGTTCTCGGTTTTTAAGAGTCTCTTATGTTTTGGCTCCCTCCCTCTCTAACCTTTTTTTTTCCCCCTCCCCCATGGTCTTCTGGTAAGTTTCTCAGGATCCACATAAGAGTGAAAACATATGGTTTCTGTCTTTCTCTGTATGACTTATTTCACTTAGCATATTTTTGTTTCATTTCAAGGCTGATGCATGACATTATATGTTTAGTAAGCCACATGAACATTCCTTACATCATAAGGAAATGCTTATTATAAATAAGTAAATAAATGTTTATTATGAATCTTCCTTATATCATGAATAAATATGCTTAAATCCCTTTATTTTGGTAAGAGAAATAAAATCATTCTTTTTAAAAAATGATTCTTGGGCGCCTGAGTGGCTCAGTCGGTTGGGCGTCCGACTTCGGCTCACATCACGATCTCATGGTTCGTGGGTTTGGGCCCCACGTCAGGATCTGTGTTGACAGCTCGGAGCCTGGAGCCCGCTTTGGATTCTATGTCTCCCTCTCTATCTCTGCCCGTCCTCGCTCATACCCTGTCTCTGTCTCTCTAAAATAAATAAGCATTAAAAAAATTTTTTTAAATCCTGAAGTGAGAAACAAACCCTTGTAACAATGTTATTTTTGATCACCACGAAAATTTTTCATTACCTCTACTGTCAATTGTCTATAGAATAATAGAGAGGTGACATTTTTGCTGTAATTTCTAAGATTCAGGTACATTTAAAGGAACTATTTTTGGTGGCAAGACTCTAACTTGTATGCATCTTTTTTCTCTCTCAGAATTTAATCAAATTAGATCTATCTCATAATGGTTTGTCATCTACCAAATTAGGAAGTCAGCTCCAACTGGAAAATCTCCAAGAGCTCCTGTTATCAAATAATAAAATTAACATCCTGAGACGTGAAGAACTGGATTTCCTTGGCAATTCTTCTTTGAAGAAATTAGAATTGTCATCAAATCCAGTTAAAGAGGTAAGAAGTCGGGTAAAATGATTTCGTGTTCTACCTTTAAGTGTGGGCAATCCCTAACTGTGTCACAGGGGTAAGAATCTAAAGATCCCTAGAGAAAGGGGTAATAATGTTTGCCATGCTTTCCAGAAGTCCTTCACACTTACTGCTTGGGGCCATTGATGTCCTCCTCGCAAAAAGAAACACTGGTAGCAATTGGGGGCTGGAGCTCCGCTGTCTAACAGAAGTGGGTTAAAATCCGTGTTCCAGTTTTAGGAACCTTGGGGAGCCTACATAACCTTTCTGGGTCTTAGCTTCCTCACTTGTAAAGTGGGAATACTATCTATTGCACAAAATCGCTGGAAGAATTAAAACAGCATGATAGTTAAGAGCACAGGCTGTAGAGTTGGGCAAGCTGGCTCCCCTTCTGGGCTTTCTCTCCTAATACTTGTGTAATCAGGCAAATTATTCAAGTTCTTTGCCCTCCAGTTCCCCAGGTGTAAAGTTAGTATAATAATAACACTACTTCATAGGCTGTATGGTAAAGAATTTAGCACCGTATCTCATGTAAGTGCTCCATAAATGGTAACTAGCATTAGATTATTATGAAAATCTTCTGATAATGGAATATACTTCTTATAATGGAGTATACCTAATTAACCTTCTCTTTAGATGCATGATATTCATTTCAGTAACTACTTTCATATACAGGTATGTTTGTATTTTATTCCTTTACCGGCTGAGAATAAGAATATTGGAAATCGTAAACTAAGTCAGATTTTTAAAAGCTGTATCAACTTACAGACATAAAAATAGACTGTATATTTGTCCTGAGATGATAAAATATAAACAAGCAAACATTTTATGTAATATTCATGCTAATTATTGAACAGCATTTTTTTTGTTGTTGTTTAGAACATTTATTGTAGAAATCTTACAAAATATGCAAGTAATGACGGGGGAGATAAAAATCATCCAAAAACCCATAGTCCAGAGACAACCAATGTTGGGTATTTTTATCTCTAGCTTTTCTCCAAGTGATAATAAGAAAAAGCAACAGCCACTGAAATTCAGAGCACAAATTCAAAAGACACCGTATGTTGGACACTATGATAAGTTTATATATATGCATATATATTTATAATTTATTGTATATATTCATAAATTTAAATTTATTATTTATTATAATTTATTTATAATATCTATATATTTATATACATATAAATATATATTTATTAAATACATATATTTACATAGTCCTGTAACCAACTTATTCTTTTTTGAAAGTTTATTTATTTATTCGAGAGAGAGAGAGCAGGGGAGAGAGAGAAAGAATCCCAAGTAAGCTCCACACTGTCAGCAAAGAGCTGGATGTGGGGCTCAATCTCACGAATCACGAGATCATGACCTGAGCCGAAATCAGGAGTCGGACACTTGACCGACTGAGCCGAGCAGGCGTCCCGTCACCAACTGATTCGTATCACCATTTTACCCAAGGGTAAATTGAGATGAAGCAGGGTTGAGGAACTTGTCCAAGGTCTCACATGTGACAGTTTGGTGACAGAACTGGGTCTCTGGCAGTGTTAGATCGGGGCCCATGCTCTTAACAGCTGTGCTGTATTGCCTCCCATAGGCAACAGTGTATCCTCCCATTAAAAAGTCATCTCGCGTCATGAGCATTCTCCGTGTCATTGAGAATTATTCAAAAACTCAATTTTGATTACTGCAACATGTTATCATGGAAGTTCACCCTAATGAACTGAACAATTTCCTGCTCTGTAGTCCAATTCACTTTACTTAACAACCAAATTTGCCTTATCGTCCATTAGCCCTAACAGCTCACAAATGACACAGTAGGAATCAGAGCCTCTTTGCTCTCCTGGTGTTTAACCACCCACGACTGGCTCCGACCCTCTCGGGATTCCTTCTCTCCTTGCCTTCTGTCCTCTTGTTCTGGGGCAGAATCCCACAGCAGACCAGGCTTCTGGTGAGGGAGTGGGGGCAGAGCAGAAGGGAGCTGGAGGCACTGACACGCAATAACATCAGGAGAAAACCCGGGCTGGACAGACAAAGAGGAAGGCTGGAACTCAGAGCTGCAGAAGGGAAAGTGCACGTCGCAGTTGCATAATAAAATCCACCCATTCATTCCCCACATGTTCACTGAGAACAGTGGTCAGCGAGACAGAAACAGCATCTGCCCCAGTGGTGACCTTACAAAGAGTTTATTAATTACGATCATACTCAGTGTGATCAAGTAAAAATACTAGGGACCTCACCTAGACTGGGAGGTCAGGGAGGGCCCCCTGGAAAGGAGGCCATTGAATGCTGGGCAGAAGGTAAGCAGCGGCCAGGAAAGGTGGGGGACTGCCCCAGGAGGTGGGTGTCGCAGGCACAGAGTAAGGAGCTGTGCAGTAGAGGGATGGAGAGTAAACCCAGAGAAGATGGTGAAGGGGGAAGGGGGTGGAGTAAAGAATTGTGTTTAAGCTTCTCTAGAGTCATGCGGACCCCACTGTGTTTTGGTTATTAACCTCTCTTTTCTCCCCCCACCTTTAGTTCTCTCCAGGGTGTTTTCATGCAATTGGAAAATTATTTGGCCTCTCTCTGAACAATGCTCAACTGAACCCCAACCTCACAGAGCAGCTTTGTTTAGAACTGTCGAACACAAGCATTCAGAATCTATCCTTGAGCAACACCCAGCTGTACAGAACAAGCAATATGACTTTCGTTGGGCTCAAGCACACAAATCTCACCGTGCTCGATCTTTCCCACAACAACTTAAATGTGATTGATAATGGTTCCTTCGTTTGGCTTCCACGTCTAGAATATTTCTTCCTGGGGTATAATAATATAGAACACTTATTTTCTCACTCCCTGTATGGGCTTCTCAGTGTGAGATACTTGGATTTGAGACGATCTTTCACCAAACAAAGCACTGCCCTTACTTCGCGTCCCAAGATCGATGATTTTTCCTTTCAGTGGCTAAAATGTTTGGAGTATCTTAACATGGGAGACAACAACTTCCCAGGTATAAAAAGCAATATGTTCACGGGACTGATAAAGCTGAAACACTTGAGTCTATCCGACTCCTTCACAAGCTTGCGAACTTTAACAAATGAAACATTTTTGTCACTTGCTCAGTCTCCTTTGGTCACGCTCAACCTAACCAAAAACAAAATCTCAAAAATAGAGAGTGGCGCTTTTTCTTGTCTGGGCCACCTTCAGGTACTCGACCTTGGCCTTAATGAAATTGGGCAAGAGCTCACAGGCCAAGAATGGAGAGGTCTAGGAAATATCATTGAAATCTACCTTTCCTACAACAAATACCTACAACTGACTCCTGGGTCTTTTGCCCCGGTTCCAAGCCTCCAACGCCTGATGCTCCGCAGAGTGGCCCTGAGAAATGTGGACAGTTCTCCTTCACCTTTTCATTCTCTTCGCAACTTGGTCATTCTGGATCTAAGCAACAACAATATAGCCAACATAAATGATAAACTGTTGGAGGGTCTTGAGAAACTAGAAATTCTGGAATTGCAGCACAACAACTTAGCACGGCTATGGAAACGTGCAAACCCTAGTGGTCCTGTTTATTTTCTAAAGGGTCTTTCTCACCTCCACATTCTTAACTTAGACTCTAATGGCTTTGATGAGATCCCAGCAGAGGTATTCAAGGGCTTATCTGAATTAAAGAGCATTGATTTAGGATTGAATAATTTAAACATATTTCCGCTATCTGTCTTTGATGATCAGTCATCTCTAAAGTCACTGAACCTTCAGAAGAATCTCATAACGTCAGTTGAGAAGGATGTTTTTGGGCCAGCCTTCAGGAACCTGAGTAATTTAGATATGAGCTTTAACCCATTTGATTGTACCTGTGAAAGTATTGCCTGGTTTGTTAATTGGATTAATAGTACCCATACCAACATCTCTGACCTGTCAAGCCATTACCTCTGTAATACTCCACCTCAATATCATGGTTTCCCGGTGATGCTTTTTGATATATCAGCCTGCAAAGACAGTGCCCCCTTTGAACTCTTTTTCATAATAAATACCAGTATCCTTTTGATTTTTATCTTTACCGTATTGCTCATCCATTTCGAAGGCTGGAGGATATCTTTTTATTGGAATGTTTCAGTGCATCGAGTTCTTGGTTTCAAAGAAGTAGACAGACAGCCAGAGCAGTTTGAATATGCAGCATATATAATTCATGCCTATAAAGATAGGGATTGGGTCTGGGAGAACTTCTCTCCGATGGAAGAAAAAGATCAAACTCTCAGATTTTGTCTCGAAGAAAGGGACTTTGAGGCAGGTGTCCTTGAACTTGAATCAATTGTTAATAGCATCAAAAGGAGCAGAAAAACTATTTTCGTTATAACACAGCATCTATTAAAAGATCCATTGTGTAAAAGGTAGGTGAACATTGTGAAATTTTAAGTGTGTACTTGTTTTTTTCACTTGAGCTTTCAAATATTACTTACATTATCATTGACAACTCAAAGAATTTTAAAAATAAAAAGATAACTTGATTATTAGTGACAGATAAAAACAAGTGTAGGGGGGATGTTAGCGCTTTTGGCTGTTCTAAACCATATGCTGATATATGTAACTTATTTTAATAATTTTTTTTTTTTTTACTAGATTCAAGGTGCACCAGGCAGTTCAGCAAGCTGTGGAACAAAATCTGGATTCCATTATATTGATCTTTCTTGAGGATATTCCAGATTATAAACTGAACCATGCACTCTGTTTGCGACGAGGGATGTTTAAATCTCACTGCATCTTGAACTGGCCAGTTCAGAAAGAACGGGTAAATGCCTTTCATCATAAATTGCAAGTAGCCCTTGGATCCAGAAATTCAATACATTAAATTTATTTAAAGACTAAGTTAACAAAGGCGTAACTTTCCCCCACTTAAAGAGTTTCATAGTAAATTTAGGTTTTATTTGAAAATAATATATATCTGTTTATTCAGACTTAGAGAGGTTTCTGATAATTATATTTGGAGTTTTTTTGGATGCACTCATAGGAAAATAAGAGATCATTGTTTTAGTGGGTACAATGCTATTTCGACTGTAAAAGAGTAAAATATATATCCTAATTTTTAAAAGCTTCATCACAGGATTTTTTTTTTTCAGTTAGAAAGCTTTTATTTTAGTGGTGCCCACTTCAGTGTTGATTTTGTTAAGTGTTAAATTCCATTTGAACCTACAGACGCATGGTCAGGAAACGTTTGTAATTCATTTTCATTACTTAGTTAAAATACATATTTTAATAAGTCCTTATATTTCCCTGATACGTGGGTTTCTGCTGTAGGTGTTAGAAGAAACAATTCTCTTACTTAAAAGTATTACAGGAAACAAAAAAAGTATTAATAGAAAGGCTTGCTTCCTGAAGGTTAATTAGTAGATTAGCTTTGTGGTTGTAAAATATTGTTTTCTCTTGGCCACAGACTCAGGAGATGGTCCTGGTCGGATCATTTGGTCCTACTGGGACTCTTTGACGCCTGATCTTGAAAATTATGGTGTTGAACAAAATCTTTAATAATCCTATATAATTAGCGATGATGACCATGGTATAATACATTCACATGAAACGTATCATCATGTCATAAAATAGTGTGCTGTGTATACATTAGTCCTTCTCTAGAAAGACTATTAATTAAAATTTTATTTTTGCTTTTGCAATGGAAAGAACCTAATTATTGAAAATAGACACGAATAGCGTTTTAAAACATTTATAGTTCTGGTATTCAAATAAAGAGAGTGTTGATATCATAAAGCTGGGTTAATTTCTATATTAGAAGCACTGTTTTGGTAAATTTAGGGAGAGTTTGAGCTGTCACAGTTTGGAACTTTGATTAAAATAGTGTTGTATCCTCGGGGCTAAGTCCACAGAATCCTGGAAAAAGTGACACTCGCTGTACTGCTGGTTCTGAGTCTACAATCTCTCGACAATGTGAATGTGTGGAGGACTCATTTTCACTTCCGTGTTACACAGCATCCTTGCACACGAGACGCTCGTTCGATAGCGTTTTTGCTAAGGCGTGCTTTCCTCCTGTGAAATCATCTCGTTTTCTTTTGGCATTGTAAAATAAAAGTAAAAGAAAGAAAGAAAAGACAGATTAAATTAAACTTTTATGATGGCAAAATAAAACCCACAGCCACAGTTTTTCCTGACGTGCTTTGTATGTTATTTATGTCTCGATAGTCCCAATGTTAGTCCAATATTTCTAAGTAATGGATATTCCATTGGTCTACAAAAAGCAGGGCAGGAAGTAATTTTGCTTTTATGCCCTTATTTGCTTATAAGATAGTTGATCAAATGGCCACAATTTAAATTGAGTTCAAGTGTAATCTTTTAAAGTTGCTTAATATTTAAGAAGATACACAAGGGATGACCCTTGAACTGAATACAAGTAAAGCTAATCAACGGTGTAAGCCTTGACTTGTATTTGGCCTACACAGGAAGAAACATCCTGAACCTTCGGCAAGCTGTCCTTTATAATTGTTCTCTGGAGGAGTCCTTATCCCTGGGGTTCAAAACAAGGGAAGTGCAGAAAAGGATATTTGTCTGACCTGTTTAACTTCCACAAGTGAAGTAATGTGTTTGAAAGCTCTCAGGGTACCATCATGTTATCTGTTCACTCCATCTCCTTCTTGCTGTTTTTCAAAACAAATTCCAGCTGAATCAACATTGAGTTTAAAACAAATCCAGGTGTTTAGATTTTACCTAAAAATGACACCTTTTTGATTGTAACAAGAAGTGAATACTCTCACCTTGTTAGTGAGGAGGAAGGATTTTCAATGTCATTTATTTAACAAGCTCTTAATTATTCAGATGTCTACCTTAGGTGATTTGTAAAGGGGACTCCACAGTAATTGATGGTCACGATGTGTAAATCAAGAGTTTAAAAAATATTTCTTGAAATCTCTAGAGGCAGAAAGCAGACTAGTGGTGGTCTGGACCTGGGGATGGGAAGGGGGAGTAAATAAAGGTTGTGTAAGAGATCTTTTCGGGGTGAGGAGAATGTTCTAAAAATGGATGGTGTCAATGATTGTACAACCCTGTAAGTTTTTACTAAGAATCATTGAATCATATACTTAAAGCAGGTGAATTTTGTAGTAGGTAAATCATATATCAATAAAGCTGTTAGAAAAAGAGTATTCATGGAGCAACCACGTGAACCTAGCCCTGTGCCAAACATGATGGGGCACACAGGATGTGAGCTACATTGTAGAAAATGACGCAAGAAGAGTTCGGGTAGGAAGGGGCTGTCAAAGATGGACCTGAACAAAAGGCTCCGTGGAAGATCAGACCTTTCAAAGATGGGTAGGATTTTGTTGAGTGAGGAGCAAGATGGTGAAATGAACAGTAAGATGAAAGGGAGGGAGGCATGATCTTGGTGTTGGGAGGTCACAGGATGCTGCTGAGGATGGAACCATGGTACAGAGAACGTGGCAGAGGAATTTAGACTTAAGGAGTCAGGTGTCTTGAGATTGTAACTTGATGGGTTTCAAATGGCAACACCAGAAGTTATAATAAAATTCTCCCCTGGAATCTATGACTTAGATTTATGTGGCAGCTAGTTGAATAGAGAGTGTAACTTCTAACTTTGCAGTCCAGTCAGGCATATCCTCATATCACAGAAGGAGGTTTAAAGCACTTATTTCTTTTCCTATATATATATGTAAATCCATATTGAAGTAACAAAAAAAAGGGTAATCAATTGGTCATCAGTTGCTAATTACACTGGGTGATATATTAGCCATTTTTTATAATATAATTTATTGTCAAATTGGTTTCCGTACAACACCCAGTGCTCATCCCAACAGGTGCCCTCCTCGATGCCCATCACCCACTTTCCCCTCTCCCCCACCCCCATCGACCCTCAGTTTGTTCTCAGTATCTAAGAGTCTCTTATGGTTTGCCTCCCTCCCTCTCTGTAACTATTTTTCCCCCTTTTCTTCCCCCATGGTCTTCTGTTAAGTTTCTCAAGATCCACATATGAGTGAAAACATACAATATCTTTCTCTGACGGACTTATTTCACTTAGCATAATACCCTCCAGTTCCATCCACGTTGCTGCAAATGACCAGATTTCATTCTTTGTCATTGCCATGTAGTACTCCATTGTGTATATAAACCACAATTTCTTTATCCATTCATCAGTTGATGGACATTTAGGCTCTTTCCATAATTTGGCTATTGTTGAAAGAGCTGTTATAAACATTGGGGCACAAGTGCCCCTATGCATCGGTACTCCTGTATCCCTTGGGTAAATTCCTGGTAGTGCTATTGCTGGGTCATAGGGTAGATCTATTTGTAATTTTTTGAGGAACCTCCACACTGTTTTCCAGAGCGGCTGCACCAGTTTGCATTCCCACCAATAGTGCAAGAGGGTTCCTGTTTCTCCAAATCCTCTTCAGCATCTATAGTCTCCTGATTTGTTTATTTTAGCCACTCTGACTGGCATGAGGTGGTATCTCAGTGTCGTTTTGATTTGTATTTCCCTGAGGAGGAGTGACGTTGAGCATCTTTTCATGTGCCTGTTGGCCATCTGGATGTCTTCTTTGGAAAAGTGTCTTTTCATGTCTTCTGCCCATTTCTTCACTGGATTTATTTGTTTTTCAGGTGTGGGGTTTAGTAAGTTCTTTATAGGTTTTAGATACTAGCCCTTTATCTGATATGTCATTTGCAAATATCTTTTACCATTCTGTTGGTTACCTTTTGTTTTGTTGATTGTTTCCTTTGCAGTGCAGAAGCTTTTTATCTTGATGAGGTCCCAATAGTTCATTTTTATTTTTAATTCCCTTGCCTTTAGAGATGTGTTGAGTAAGAAATTGCTGCGGCTGAGGTCAAAGAGGTTTTTGCCTGCTTTCTCCTCTAGGGTTTTGATGGTTTCCTGTCTCACATTCAGGTTCTTTATCCATTTTGAGTTTATTTTTGTGTGTGGTGTAAGAAAGTGGTCTAGTTTCATTCTTCTGCATGTTGCTGTCCAGTTCGCCCAGCACCATTTGCTAAAGAGACTGTCTTTTTTTCCATTGGATACTCTGTCCTGCTTTGTCAACATTACTTGGCCATACATTTGTGGGTCCACTTCTGGGTTCTCTATTCTATTTCATTGGTCTATGTGTCTGTTTTTGTGACAATATCATACCATCTTGATGATTACAGCTTTGTAGTAGAGGCTAAAGTCTGGGATTGTGATGCCTCCTGCTTTGGTCTTCTTCTTCAATATTACTTTGGCTATTCGGGGTCTTTTGTAGTTCCATACGAATTTTAGGATTGCTTGTTCTAGCTTCGAGAAGAATGCTGATGCGATTCTGATTGGGATTGCATTGAATGTGTAGAGATATCTTTGGGTAGTACTGACATTTAACAATACTTATTCTTCCAATCCATGAGCATGGAATGCTTTTCCATTTCTTTGTGTCTTCTTCAATTTCCTTCATAAGTTTTCTATAGTTTTCAGCATACAGATCTTTTACATCTTTGGTTAGGTTTATTCCTAGGTATTTGATGGTTCTTGGTTATATTAGCCATTTGTAACTCCTGCAATCCCTTAACCTGACTCCATCTTTCTGTCCAAGGGAGAAACTGGTTCTGTCACGTGACTTCCTCCCCACCCATTTAGCAAACCATCTTGTATACGTTGGGCAGGAGTCATGGGAATTTTCAGTGGCAGAACTTTCCTGGTTCTGTGTGAGAATTTCTGGTAGCCAGTTTTGAATTCTTAGCTCTCTTGTATCTTAAGTCAGTTCCCCAGGAAATAAATTCCCGCATGGAAATGTCTGCGCAGCAGGATTCGGGGAGTGCTCTGATTTATAAGGGAGTGAAGTCACCTGGATTGGGAAGAGAGCTTACAGTGTCCTGTGCTGCAATTGCAGCAGAAGCCTTAGCAGACCCCACAGGGAATGGCCTTACAGAGTTGATGCCAAAAAGCGGTTGGACCACTCTACCCTCATCTCAACCAATCAGCATTGGCTACAGGCAGTCCCAGGGAGGAAGCTGTGCCCTTGAACAAAAAGCTTTGCC